CAAATTTTTTATGTGGGAAGTTGGTAGCCAAGGCTGACGGGTACTACACCTTGCGCAAGGGTGACCTGGAGGTAGTTGTGGCAAAGGGTAACCCCATTCTTCCAAGTACAAAAACTCCACAACCGGATGCAGTTTTAACGTCATGTACTGGTATATAATTTTTCTTCACTTCTGTAGTGAATTTATCTATTGTTTTTTTCAGGTGGATTCAACAGAGTACATACAGGAACTCACAAAATTAAAATGTATTATCCACCAGTCCCCGATGTGAGAGACATACCATTAATGGTAAGGGCACAATATCAATATTTCTTTTTAGAAACTATTTTATTGCAATTTATGTTATTGTAGTTTGTCATGTTATTGTAACCTAAATGTTTCCATGGACATTATTTTGATGAATCTTCATTAGCATATCTTCCTATTATGTTGCAGCCTCATCAATATCCTAAAGAGTGGGCCAAATTTGGAAAAGCCACTGTTAGGATACATATATTTACAGGGAGACCACCAGGTACACTAACACCATCCACTATTGCCAGTGACCTTGAAGATGATGTCCCTGAGGTAAGCATGACATTGCTTTTGGCAAAATTACAGCACTGTTATAGTGATTATAACAATGGGAGTGTTTGTGGTTACCCTGTCTGTGTGTATGCAATGTTTGTGTATATACATATATATATATAATATTATATATAAGTCTGTTCCACTTATATTCCAAGAACTAATCATTGCATTTCAATGGAACTTAGATTTTCTGGGTCAATGCACAGAACTGATTAGTTTTGGGTTGAATTCTGTACATATTAATCACCTAATTTGCATAATAATTAGCCAATTTTCAATTTTTTTCCACCAATACCTCAAGTACCAATTATCACATGTTTCAATTAAACTTTTTATATAGACGGTTGGGTCATTGAACATAACTAATTAGTTTTTAAGGTTGCATACTAATTACCTAATTTGAATAACTTAACCAATTTATAATTGTTATTGCTATTGATTAAATTTCATTGAAATTTCGTACAATGCTTTGGGGCAATATCAAAATTATTTCTTTATTTGATTCATTATCAATACCAAATTGAAATGTGCTCACTCACTCAAGATAGATAAACTTTCACTGTTTAATGTGTGATGATTAAATGTTCTAATGCAGTATACATGTAAACAAACTAATGTGGTAATAGTCATGTTTAAAGTGTGATGATTAAATGTTCTTAATGCAGTATACATGTAATCAAACTAATGTGGTAATAGTCATGTTTAATGTGTGATGATTAAATGTTCTTAATGCAGTATACATGTAAACAAACCTAATGTGGTAATAGTCATGTTTAATGTGTGATGATTAAATGTTCTTAATGCAGTATACATGTAAACAAACCTAATGTGGTAATAGTCATGTTGGTCCTCATTCTCTGTGATTGAATTCAACTTACAGTTTTTTCATTTTTATTTTGGCCATTCTGCACACATTTTGAATGTCTGTTATCATGCAGTCAGCCTAAGAACTAAAGCTATAGGATATACAGCCAGTCTCAATAGAGTAGCCAATATCTTAAAAATAGATAAGTCTCAATAGAGTAGCCAATGTCTTAAAAATAGATAAGTCTCAATAGAGTAGCCAATGTCTTAAAAATAGATAAGTCTCAATAGAGTAGCCAATGTCTTAAAAATAGATAAGTCTCAATAGAGTAGCCAATGTCTTAAAAATAGATAAGTCTCAATAGAGTAGCCAATGTCTTAAAAATAGATAAGTCTCAATAGAGTAGCCAATGTCTTAAAAATAGATAAGTCTCAATAGAGTAGCCAATGTCTTAAAAATAGATAAGTCTCAATAGAGTAGCCAATGTCTTAAAAATAGATAAGTCTCAATAGAGTAGCCAATGTCTTAAAAATAGATAAGTACTGTTAAATCAAATTTGCATAGGAACAGGTGTATGTTTGTATTTTGGTTCATTTGGTGTACTTTTTTTGACGTCATATCAAAACCTAATAAAGTAGGATTTAGTCATGCTGGTCCTCATTCTCTGTGATTGAATTCAAGTAGGATTTAGATAGTGTTTTAATTCAAAGAATTGTAAGCAGACATTTTCATATGAGTAGGAATAAATTGTTATGGAATGGACAGTGGTGGATGTATATGTAGTAACTGCTTTTATTTTTCAGGATGCCTGGATTGCATTTGAGAAAGAATTTCCTCCATCTGAGCCATTCACATCTGGTGATGGTTTTGATCTATATATAGATGGTGCTAGACATTTACCAGATTGTGTTACTATCACTAGGGTTGCTGGCAGAGTCTTTGATAAAAAATATGACAAGTAAGAATTATGTTGTTATAATACTAAGGTACTAACACATCCTGGTATTTTGATCATGTACCCTGGTTTGCAAATTTATTTAGTTTAGTTTATTCAGTATGAATTAAGCTCCTCAAGAACCACACATCAAAGTCCATATCTAGGATAGTTTACAAAGTCACAAAGAGCAGTTATTTCCAGTAGGGTCTAAACACATTAAATACCAAAATACTATATAGATCCAAGACATTCATACACAAGCAATTAAAAATCAAATTTGTATATACAAATAGATATGAATTGTATTGACACATATCAAATATAAACTCAGAATAATGTAGCCAAATATTTATGTTTCAGGATTGGTAAAGACATCAACACCAATGTTTTCTTAGACAGCGATATATTCAATCCAGTTTATAACTTTCGTCAAGAATATCGAGATTTAGCGATTCCACCAACAGCTACGTTACTTATCAAGGTATGGTACCCCTAGCTTAAAGTCTCATTTTATCCATCCTAATTATTAAAAAAAAATCAATATATATGGGTCAAATTTAAAAGTAGACATGTTCACTACTTTTATTCAATCAATATGAAAAATGTGACGACAATCAGGTTATTAGCTCACAACCAGTGATTTTTAGCCATTTTAGAAACAGAACTTCTTTCATGTCTTAATTTTTCCACCAAAATTTGGGTAGAAAATTTCAATGTAATTTCCCATATTTCTAAAAAAGACATTATTTTCCATTGGTTATATTTCCAGATTAATTGGTTTGGTTATTTGTGAAACAAAAGTTGACTTTGTGAGATATTTTCAAAATTAATTTACAAGATCAATGTTTTGAATTATGATAACAAATATTCAGCATATTTTCACATTTTCAGCATAACAACAAATACTATTTGAACAATGATTGAATCAAGGATTTTAAATTCCCATTGGAAAGGGGTCAGGTTTTACAATATAAATTATCATAATTTTTACCTATATTTTCTAAAACTTTAGATCACTAGAAATTATGTTCATAATCAAAATCAAGAAATAAATTATAGAAATTGTTTCACCACAATTTTATTTGCTGTAGGTGTATACAATAGACCGATATACTAAAAGACTGACTGTGGTAGGTTTCGCTTCACTGAATATCTTTGTGGTGTCTGGCACCGAAAAACAACCACCTGCAGATACAGGAGCTGTACAAATATCACTGAATGAGGGCGCTCATCAGCTTAGACTATTCCAGCTAGGTCCAGATGCTAATAAACCCTTGACTAATCAGACATTGAAAGATACAAAGAAGTAAGTGAAACATAAACACAGTTGTCAAATTTCCTTACTTTTTAGGAATTTTTAAAATAGTAAATAAAATATGGCAAATCTGTTTTATACATCAACTATCAAGTAACACTGACCTTACAAAATAATCTTATGTGTATGGAAACAAGCTGTTATTTATTATTACAATATGATTCATTTGTAAAAATATTGCA